TTGCTTTGTCGCCCAGGCTGGAGTATAGTGGCGTGATCTTGGCTCACTGCAACCTCTGCCTCCCGGGTTCAAGCGATTCTCCTGCCTCAGCCTCCCCAGTAGCTGGGATTAACAGGCACATGTCACCATGCCCAGCTAATCTTGTATTTTTAGTAGAGATGGGGGGTTTCACCATGTTGGCCAGGCTGGTCTTGAACTCCTGACCTCAAGTGATCCGCCTGCCTCGGCCTCCCAAAGTGCTAGGATTACAGGTGTGAGCCACCACACGGGGCCTCGAGGGATATTGTTGATGTCCTTTCCCCATTACACACCTCTCTTCCCTTAGCTTCCTTGTCACCTGCCCACTCCCAGCTGTCCCCACTCTGCTCTCACTGTGTCCCCTTGCTGTCCCTGGTGGCACTGGCCACCTTGCAGCTGCTGCACCTGGAGTTAGGGAAGCAGTGCGGAGGTGAGCAGGTAGTGGGGAATGATGTCATTCTCAGATCACTCTTTCTGGCTTTCATCCTGTCCCTCCGTGACCTGTTCTTCAACCATTATGCAAATGCTTAATGGCCACCTACCCTCGCAGGTGCTAGGCGCCGTTTTAAGTGCAGTGACCCAGCAATGAAGGAGACAGGCGGGCATCAGGGTTATCCCAGAGCCAGCTAGGAATTCCCCATGCAGCAGCAGAGACAATGTCCGAGGCCGTAGAGGACCTGAACAAGGGAAGCACAAGTCCAGCCTGGCTGGACTTTTGGGAACAAGGCCACTTGGTCTCATCCAAACACAAATAAAACTGTTTTGTGAGTCCCCTGACCCCATCTACTTTTCACAGAGCTTGCTGACGGCTGGGAAAGAGTTGGTTGGGAAGGAGGTGGCTGACAGCGGGTGGTTAGGAAGGAGGTGGCTGGGCAGGGGTGGCTGGGTAAAGGTGGCTGGGCAGGGGTGGCCGGGAAGGGGGTGGCTGGGAAGGAGGTGGCTGGGAAGGGTGTCTCTTTCTGCTCACCTGACGGCTCCTGGTTGTGCTTTCTTCCCAGGTGTATGAGCTCAGTGGAGAGCACCACGACGAAGAGTGGTCAGTGAAGACTTACCAGGAAGTAGCTCAGAAGTTTGTGGAAACTCACCCTGAGTTTATTGGAATCAAAATCATTTATTCAGATGACAGGTAAGAGAGAGTATTGCTGAAGAGCTCGGGTTCGGAGACTGGGATGCAGGCAGAGCTGCTGGACTGGGAAGGGAGGGGTGAGAAGTGGGGCTGGGAGGCCAGGAGAGGCCCAGTGCTGGTGCCAAGGAGCTGCGCTGTGCCTCTGTGTGTGAGCACAGTAGTAGGGAAGTGCGGTGACCCAGCAATGAATTGCTCCCTGAAGCCACTTCTAGTTCGGGTCTTCACCCCCAAACTGAAATGAAGAATGTGTGAATTTCCCAGATAATTCTCGGCTGTGACCCCACATTGGCCTGATGACTCAGTTATGAGCATAATGGTTTCGCATGAACGTTTGGATAATCGGCCCATTTTTTGGTTTCAATTCGCCTCTGGGTTCTGTGTGTGGTTGCATGTGAATCCTTGATCAGGGAGATGCCCTGAGGGCACTGGCTCAGGTCTGCATGTGGGGACCTCCAGTAGTGCCGTGTGCGTGGCCTGGCACGTGGGTGAAAGACCCACTCTTTTTCCCAAGGAAGCACAGAAAGCTTTGCAGCTTAATTGTCCTTCCGACTTTACCAGACAAGACCCCTTCCCTCAATTTCAAGAGCAGCCAGTCTAAGGCTGGGACCTGTCCATGGTCTCAGCTGCAAGGGCAGCAGCCAGTGGGATCACTCAGAGTCAGGCACGGGGTGGGCACCGGAGGGATCCGGCAGCGGCTCCATCTGCCTAGCCCACCACGAGCCTGGGCTCTGGAGGGCATTGACTCCCCAGGAGCCTCCTCCTGTGCCCAGTCTTCCTGAGTGCCCCCTCCTTCCATGGGGCCTGGGGCCTGGAGGAGCTGAGCTCTGGCTTTGTGCCGGTCCCCCTAGGAGGGATTGTGCCCGTCCCCCTAGGAGGGAGCTTGCAGGATGGGCCCACGTTCTGCTCAGAGGCTCCCTGGTGCCAGGTGTCCCTTCCCAGGGCCAGTGGCAGGAGGGTGTGAGGGCTGAGCTGAGTGTATCAATGTCCCCAGGTTCACCTAGACTCCGGGGAGAGGCCATGGAGGGGCGGGCCAGGAAGTCTTTGTCCCCACAGAGCGGAGGATTGGAACGGGAGAGCCAGCTAGTGGCAGGGCAAAGACCTTGAGCCCGTTGTGGGCTTGCGCCAGAGCCTGTGTTCTGGGGGTTTCGTTGTCATGCTGCCTGCCTTGCCCCTGTAGGGTTCTGCAGTGCCCAGAGTCTTGCTGACTTAATCAGCAAGAGGCCAGATGGTTACTGGGTCCAGCCGACCCATCAGGGACTTGGGTGACCTGTGGCCCTTTGCAGGCGTCCAGTGGACAGACAGCTGCCCCTGAACTGCATCCATGTCTGAGTCCCCGACAGAGATGCGGGGAGAGTCGGGAACGAGGCCACTTGGCCTCCTCTAAATGCAGACAAATGAAACTGTTCCTGTGGGTCCTCTGACCCCACCTACTTTTCAGAGACTACAGGTGCCCCCAGAGCCAGAAAGGATCTCTGAATAAGAATGGATTTGGGCTGGCCGGGCGCGGTGGCTCAAGCCTGTAATCCCAGCACTTTGGGAGGCCGAGACGGGTGGATCACGAGGTCAGGAGATCGAGACCATCCTGG